GTCTCCCGTCAGGATTTGTTGGGTCATTTTCAGCCGGAGGGAGGCTCCTATCCCCTTCACACTCACTACTTCCTCTGGAAGAGTTAATTTCTGTTCATTCTTTGGGCCTCATCTTATACACAGTGTCCACAGGGACTCCCTCCTGTAACGCCTTTGAGACAACTGGCTGAACCATGCGCGTGTGACTGAAGAAAGACCAGGCGGCTTCTGTGGCTCATGCATTTTAGTGAGTGTTGGCTGACGTCGTGTGTCATCACAATGCGCCGGAGCGCGTGTCCAGGTGGGTCCGGGGACAGTGGCCCCTGCTCCTCCTGGATACGCCCTCCAGGCTGCATTTCAATTTTGCCAAGCCCGTCCCTCAGTGGGGGCCCGTCGAGTCCCCACCGCAGGCTGAGACCTGGTGTCGCGGTGAGTGGTCAGAGCCTGCATCTCGCCTGTGTTCACAGTGTAACGGCGTCCACTGCAGCGGGGCCACGGAGAGCCGGCCACGGCCGCCCTGTGCGGGAGGAGTGAGCAGAGGAAATCCCGTGAGGCCAGGGGTCGAGGGGCAAGGGTGATGGGATTATCTGTAAGGATCCGAGGAGAAGCGGCCTCGGGGAAGAGTAAACTACCAGAAGCAGACGATAAATCCAGAAAACTGCTGGACCTTCCCAGCGAGGCCCAGAAAGCCGTGGCCTCTGGGGGACAGGAGCAGAGCCTCGACGGGCGGGAGGCCCTCAGAGGCCAGTGCGGCCAGGACCGGGGACGTGGGCTGCGCAGAAGTGAGCTCTCCGGCCAACGCAGCAGAGTCGAAGGGACGCCGAGGCTGGTGGGCACGTCGCAGGCCACTCACTATGTGCACAAGCCCCGGGGCCGCAGGCGTGGGCGCACGCAGGGCAGACGGAGCGGGCGTGGGGCCGGGGGGGGGCGCAGGGAGCCCCGAGGAAGACCGGCGACGGCGACGGTCACGGCAACCCGGGCCACCGCCTGCCTTCCAGGGACATCGGGAAACGGGACCCCACTTACGCCCCACGAAGAAGCCCGCGCGCCCCAGGGATGGACAGAGCGAGGTGGCCACACGGGACACGCTCCAGCTCCTCGCCCCAGCAGGCCCGGCTGCGCCCCGAGCTCTCCTCTGCCGCCTCGAAGCCAAAGGGCCGGCAGCCGCTGGTCGGGGCTTGAGGGACCCGGGACTGGCCCAGGCGTGAGCCTCTCGCCCCGCGGGTCTGTTTGTTTTCAATGTGTGAACTCTGTCAGGAAACCATACGCTGTCCCGTGCCACAAAGCACACGGGGTGTCTAGTGAGGAGGGACTTGGCTTCCAGGTTCTCTGCAGCTGACGGCCGGGCCCGCGGCTGAGGGGGTGCCCGCGGCTGAGGGGGTGTCCGCGGCTGAGGGGGTGCCCGCCGCTGAGGGGGTGCCTACTGCTGAG